TTTTTGTCACTTGAAATGTGGTCATTACTTCGAACAACCGTGTGATTTGTGATCAGGTTTTTTTTAACCCCTTGTACGGACACATTCAAGTTTTTAATTTCGATGGGTTTTCCATGGCGATTTACAATAAAGGAAGGATGGTCAAATGTGCGTCGCTGGGGACCTAACCCAGTAGCGTGATTTTCTCTACAATGTGAAGGTTGTAAATATACGCTTGTTGCCTTTTCCCCCCATTCGCCTTAGCGTTTGTAAAAAGGCTTGGCAGTTTGGGAGTGCCCGTCTGACGATCTATCTCACCGGCGAAGTTATTAATGATGCATTCATGTAGGTCTATGTCTCCCCACAGGAAGTTTTGTTATAACCTCAAATATTTTTTTCCTGTGTCGCTTCACCCCCTTGAGAAGAAGCGGCGAGAAAATGAAATGGATTCCCTACTATGTACAATGTGTCCTCAGGAAGCACTTTTTTTTTTTTTTTTTTTTTTATTTATTCCACTTTTACAATCAGCAGCTTGAGCCTGATGTTGCCAATTGCAGGTGTCTACAAAAATTGGCAGTGTTATTCGCTTATAAATTTGCCACAAAATGGAAGTGCCAAAACGGTTTAAATATGCTTGTAACACAATCATGCTCTATAGGAGATGCTCTCGTACTTTTGCGTGTACTGTGTACAAGTTTTCTGAGCGTCCAGAGTGGGCTTCGCATGGAGTGTATTATCTCTAATTCAAACTTTTTCGAATGATCTTTTGCGAGAATAAAGGAGATGAACAACTGCATGTAATGTTTGCGCAAAGGAGGAAATTAAAAAAAAAACAAAAAAGAAAGAAAAAAAACGAGAGGAACAATCAGAGCCAAATGATGCGACCATTCGTTTGCCCCTGCAGGGGGTGAGTCTTCATGTGTACGCATTCTCCCCTACATCAATTTTGCATTTTGCTGCCGTTTTTTTTTTTTTTTTTTTTTCACTGGCAAAAAGCCCGGATGGCAAGTGCGGCATGCTTTAACAGCGCAGACAATTTTAAATTGCAAGCCCGCGCGCGAAAAGGGGAGTGAAAGGGAAAGGAAAAGCATTGTCTCACGCCTTCTACATTTTGCAAAGCCAATTTTTGCCAATGTTGATATCCATGTTGATTCCCATGTTTATGTCCACGCTTATGCCCATGCTCATATTTTCGTTTTTTTCTTCTTTTGTTAAGTAACGGAATGGACGAACCAGCAGCGCAACTGCATGTGTACATGAATGCAAAAAGGGGAAATAGCAAAACAGCGGAGGCAAGAGTAGGCAAACAATAAAGGGGAAGAGAAACGAGGCCAAGTGCAACGGATGCAAACAACTTCAGTGTCACAACAAATCCCTCGTACATGTAAAAAAAAAAACAAAACCAAAAAAAACACCTGAAAAAAGTCTCTTTTTATGGTCATCCAAGATGGAAACAAAAATAGACAAGGAAGGTAACCAACATAAGCAAAAAAAAAAAAAAAAAAAAAAAAAAAAAAAAAAAAAAAAAAAAAAAAAAAAAAAAAAAAAAAAAAAAAAAAATGCCCATCCAGTGATGATTCTTTTTGTAGAGGAAACATGACAAGGGGGCGAAAGCGCAAAATGGAGAAACAAATATGCAGATGTGCACATCGCTCTGCCACCTCAACAAACAACATACATACATAACAATAATAAGGAGAGTCCATGCGTACTCACGTACTTACATATATCTCTCCCCTTTTGCAGACAGTCCCGAGAAAGACCCACAGGCCCTGCGAAAAAGATATAAATCGGAAAAGGACTTGAGCAGATCGTTCGAAGCGTACGAACGGGGAGAAACGAAATACGACGAAGAGGAGATGCATACTGCTTCCCTACTTCATGGATACTCATTTAACATAAAAAAAAAAAGTCCTGTTCAAAATGAGAAAAACTATTTATGGTTAAAGAAGAAAGACAAGGAGAGGTGGAGATCTGAATCGGAGTACCACAACTACGTTCGCAGACACAATTCAAAACTTACTTGCCTCGTGAAAAAGTACATGAAATATTTTTCTGACCTCAAGAGGACAAGCTACAAAACGAGTTCTTATGGAAATGACCCCGACATTAGCGGCGATTTCGGCAACCGTCTTGGCACAAAGAGAAGTAACCCCAACTTTACTGCTCATATGAAGAAAGGGCTCTCCGAAGAGGGTAATTTCAAGTTACAATGTGAGGAGCCTTTATCAAGCGGAAAAATACTTGGGGGATCATTTCTTCAGAAAGTGGTAGATTTGTTTGCAAGTCCATGTCGCTCTCTCCAGGAAAGGAGATCCCACAATAATAGCAACCATAGCAGCTGCAACGAAGTACCCCCCCTCCTGATCTTCACAGACGCCCTCACTGAAGAGGCATTCATGGAAAAATTTTATGCCTCTCTTCCCTTCAAAATGATTGTATACTCAACTTTAATGATTTTAACCTCGTTGGTTAACTTTTTTATTCTTCACTACGGTGTGTTTAGTTTTGAGCATACTGTGGGGAAAACGGCAATATACCTAAACGTGTGCAAATTACTCTTCGACATTTTTTATTTCTCCTTGTTTGTCATTTATATATTTTTTTTCAGTTCTAATTGCATAAAGACAGCGTCTCTTTATTCATACAATTCGTCTTACGTGTTTGCATCACTTCGAGTTTTATGTAACCTTGTTCTGTTGCACGTTCTTCCTCCATCTGTGACGACGAACGGCGCACAGTCTACACGTGTTATCGATTTGAATCCACCCCAATGTAAGAAGGTGCAGCAGTCAGGTCTGCCCAGCATCCACGCCATAGTAATGTTCATGAGTTGTACATACCTATGTGTACTCTGCTGCTTAAAAAATTACATCATCCTTTACCATTTTTCTCTAAGCTTTAAATTTTCCCTTTTTTGCATTTTGTGTGTATTTACTCTCTGTGTGTACTCCTACGGTTACCTGCATTTTGCTTACAACGATGTGGTCATTTTGTTTTGCTTCTCCCTGTGCGTTCTCGTGCTGTCTTTGTGCTATGAGTATCGATTTGAGAGGAGAGACAGGGGTTCCTTCATGAAGAAGCGCGAAGGTGACAAGAACGCGATTGAAGGGAAAAACGCAGAGGAGGAGAAAAATACAGAAGAGGGGAAAAACACAGAAGAAAGGGATAACACAGAGGAGGGAGAATATATAGAGGAGGCGGAGAACACGGACTACGGAGAAAACGACGAAGCATACCGCAGGAGGACGCCGCGACACTACATGACCAAGTACTTCTCCATTGACAACTCGACGCCTACGTCCCCCATCGAAGACATTTTGAACAACCTGAAATACTTGCTGGACCACATGAAGAAACTGGAGGAAGACGCCAACGAAAAAAAATTATCAGAAATAGGAAAAATGAGGGAAAAAATAAAAATGTGTGAAAATACCTTGAGGACGCAAAATCTAAATGAAGTACAAATATGCAAGTATAGAAAATTTGAGAGAGTTTACAATATGTGGTGTTTGGATAAAATCGAAAATAATTATTGTGAAAAAAATGATGAATGTAAATCGTACTTATCGCAAAGTCTTAATAAGAAATCTTTCAATTCATTTTCAAACATTCACTCTTTATTATCGTCCAAATTTCAAGAACAGCATAATTATTCCTTCGAATGGAAGTCCGACATTGAGTACTTGTACAAGCGCAATGTGTTCATTTCCATTGGGTATAAGTTGCTGTATCCGTTGGGTGTTTTAGAAGCCAGCTTCGACAAGGAGAAGCTGAAGAACTTCCTTCTGAAGATGTACTCTCTGTACAACGATGTGCCGTACCACAACAGCTTGCACGCCGCGCAGGTGAGTCGCTCGTACAGGGGTTGCTAAGCAGTGGTGTCGCCATTATGCGTACATACATGCATGCACACATGCGTGCATGCGCATGATTGTACATGTGCAAACGCGCTTTCAAACACCTGTGTATCCCCCCCCTCCGCAGGTCGCGCACTTCAGCAAAAGCATGCTGTTCCTCCTGGACATCAACCACAAGATACCAGCCATCGACGAATTCTGCTTGCACGTTTCTTCCCTGTGTCACGACGTGGGGCACCCGGGGCTGAACAATTACTTTTTAATCAACTCGGAAAACAACTTAGCGCTAACATACAATGACAACAGTGTGCTCGAAAACTACCACTGCTCCCTTGTGTTCAAAACGTTGAAGGAAAAAAGTTGTAATATTTTCGAAAATTACCCATATAACATTTTTACGACTTGCAAAAAAAATATCATTAGGGCTATTTTGTCCACAGACATGAAAAACCATTTCGAGTACATCTCCAACTTTCGCACATCCAAAGAATTTATCGACTTGGACATTTTAACAAGTGAACAGATATGGCAAATTTTCTCCCTCATTTTGAAGGCAGCAGATATTGGCCATGCAACACTGGATTGGAACAAACATTACGAGTGGACAATGAAAATAAATGAGGAGTTCTACCTACAGGGCTTGCTAGAAAAATCATTAAATATGCCCAACAGCTTTTTGTGTGATATAAATTCTATTGATAAATTAGCCACCTCCCAGATTGGCTTCCTCAAGCATTTGTGCATTCCTCTCTTCAGTGAGTTAAATTCCATCTCGAGAAATGATGAAGTGTACAATCACTGCATTTGCTCTATTGAACATAATATAGAGCAGTGGGAGAAGAGAAAGAATAATGAGAAGAGTCTGGGGCTACACGAGAAGTACAAAGAGGAAAATTTAATTGACAGAATTAAGCTGCTAAAATTTGTGTGAGCGGGGGCTCGCCGCCGTGACGCAGCCCTCAACGCAGCTGCTTTGCTATTTCTCCACTTTGTTACCCCACCGCTTTGTTATTTTACTTTATTTTTTTTTTTGTTTTTTGAAACGAATCAGCCGACTTCCTACATTACACTTCTTCCCCTGGACAAATTGTTTTCCATGTTGGGGGGGTTGGTCCCTTTTTAAAATTTATCCCCTCCGCTTCACTTGTAAGCAACCGCCATCTGTGTAGAAAAAGTCTCCGTCTGTGTGAACGTGCAGCGGGATATACTTTCCCCAATGCGCCTATCCCATTGTTCACAGAATAAACGTGTATATATCCCGCGAGTGGGACATAAAAAAATGGTCTACCACTCGGAATGAGCACCACTTTGGTTTATTCGCACACGTTAGAAGTGGTGGCAATTGTTGTTGTGGGGGAAAAACCAAGCTAGTAGGTCCTCTTCAACGCTGCTGTTGCGATTTTTTGTGCTTTTTTTTTTTATTTGTATTTTTTTACTCCTCCATATTTATCGCAAAGGAAAAATTTGCCCACATTAAATGGCCATTCGAAATGAAAATATTAGCAGCTAAAATACCCCCCCCCCTTTTGTTAAAAAAAAAAAAATTGCTCCATTTTAAGCATAAAGGGGCAAGCACTACGAACAGCTGTATTTGTGACTGTGTGTGGGGAGCGAAACGCATAGGTAGAATTAATCAGCTGGTAACCAAACACACATATTCACCACAAAGACAAGAATGCATTGGTTTGCTTCCCTTTTCATATGCGCTCACTTTTCCACCTATTTGTGCAGACATGTCCACTTAAAGGCAAGCACTTTTATCCCTGTTCACAATTGGGGATTGTGGAAAAAGGGCAAAAAGATAAATGTAAAAAAAAACTTATGTATAGATAAAAGTTGCAACAGAAAAACACTGCGCGTGTATGTTGGGAAGGAAATAATTATTGGCACCCGTGACTCGCCATTAGCAATAAAACAATCGGAAAAAGTCCAAACAAAACTTGAAGCATATTTTAAAAAAATTAACAAAAATGTGAAAGTCATTTTGAGGCCTATTAAAACAATGGGGGATAATATATTGGATAAAAAGGTTAATCTGTTTGGAGGGAAAGGAATTTTCACCAAGGAGTTGGATGAACAGTTAATACAAAAGAATGTCCACATTTGTGTGCATTCTTTGAAGGATGTTCCGATGGAATTGCCAGAACAAGTACAGCTGTCCTGCTTCCTAAAGAGGGATACAATAAATGACGCCTTCTTATCAGTAAGGTATGCCACCCTGGAAGATATGAACAATCTGAAGATGGCAAATACAGTGGAAGAGGAATGTTATGAGGTCCAGGGGACAAGCCAAAAAATGAATAACCAAGATGTGAACAGAGACAACTACGGAAGTGATCAGTACGGGAAGTTTTTACCAACCATTGGGACGTCCTCCTTGAGAAGGTCCAGCCAAATTAAATACACATATAAAAACGTAGCAGTAAAAAATGTGCGGGGAAACATTAACACAAGAATTGCTAAACTGTGTAATGGGCAGTATGATGCGATAATCATTGCAAAATGTGGACTGGAAAGATTAGCAACCAAAAAGGCGATCAGAAATATAATTGGGAGCAAAAATAAAGTGCCCCACCAAAAGTTCCTAATTAATTACAACAACATGGAGATCAATTTGAGCCTTTTACACATCCAGCAAATAAACAGGAGAACCATCTATCCCGCTTTGTGCCAGGGAATTATTGCTGTGTCATCTCACAAAAATGATGCGTTCATTTCTGATATACTGAAAAATATAAACGATGAGAAGGCGCAACTTATGGCCAAGGTAGAGAGGTCTTTTTTGTATCAAATCGAAGGGAACTGCATGATGCCCATCGGGGGGTACGCAAAAATTGTAAATGGGGAAATTGTCTTCAATGCGGTGATTAATGATATCCATGGGAATGAGAAATATCACGTTCGCGAATGTGGGACGGTGGAGAACTGCAATCAAATTGCAACAACGGCTGCCACAAAAATGAAGGAAAAAATCGGGACGCACAGATTTAACAAGATCAGGGAAGAGGCAGCCCAATACTATGCGTAACATTTCATGTGGACATAAAATGTCTCTCAACTGAACGGTTTCTTTCCATTTGAGGGATCCCCCTTGGGGGCAGCAGCACAAGGCCTGCTAAGACATATGGCCATTTAATTTGCAATTGTAATTATGCACGAGCGCATCTATCCATTTGCGTTTGCCATCCGATACGTTGCACGGGATGCAAGTGGGAATATAAACGAGAAAACTCCTTCTTGTTTGCCTAAAGTGACTCCCCAAAGTAGCTATCCAAATTGGGGGCACTGGTTCGCGCACGCTTAAATGATGTGCGCCCCTTACACTTTGAAAATTTTGGTACAACTTTTTTTTTCTTTCTTTTTTTTGGCCCCAAAATGCTTTGTTAAGACCGCCTTTTGCATGTTTGCAGCAGCAACATTTATTAGAAGAAATGTGCGCCGTGCGCCCGGCATTGGTAACAGTTTGGCTAAACCGTTATTGGGACGTATGTAAAAAAATACCTGTGAGCAAGTGTAATATCCATAAGGGGCAAAAAGGCCATTCTGTTTTATGACAAAATATTTTTGCCTTATGGAAGAACGCCACATGGGAGACCCCGGCCCACGGCCCATGTGGTGCACGCACCGAATGATCCGAATTGCCGGCCGAGGAAACATGTTCCACATTGGTAGGTGAATAAAAATGTGAACATAGAGCTCTATTTCGAGAGGGCCCCACAAAACATAGGTAATAATTAACTTCCTTATTCCTGTACCTTTTTTTTTCCCCGCTACAAACGTGTCATTTATTTTGAAGTGTGGGAAAAAACTGGGCCACTTCGTAGTATTTGGCTGTTGCATATAAATATGGAAAGGGAGAAAAAAAAAGAAAAAAGGCATAACTTCAAGAAACGCGTCGCCCCTTTTGTAAACATAAGGGGGACATATATATTTCCTGTTGCGGGCTGCGTTAATTTTCCCCCCTTTTTTGTGCCATTTTCATTTCAAAACATGAGTTAAGCTAACTACTTTACGCGCCAATCTCGAAGTAAACTCCACTCGTACGACAGAATCCTCTTGTGAGGACCATTTTTTTTGTCTATGTGGGAATGAGCACAATGGAGAATGACAAGGGGGACGGCCAGGTCAAGGTTAATTTGTCTACATGATCATGTGCATCAATGCGAATTGGAAAAAATGATTATATGTGGAAAGAGAGTAAAATAGCATATCAGCATGTTCATAATTTTTACCTTATGTATATGCCCCTTCCTTTTTTTTTGCACACGTTTATAATCAGATTGACATGAAGGAGCATCAGTGGAGAATTTTCGAATACAACATGAGCAAATGGATGATTGAAAATAAGTACATTTTGGATCAGGAAGAAAAGAAGAAGTTTTACAAGTGTGCAAATTATAGCATAGGAACTGGAATTATAAATGCGTCTTTAGTGTACTTTTTTTGCAAAAGGAACCAAAAATTTTTTAGCCCCATGTCCAGATTTTTTTTAACCTTTTCCTTGGGCGTATACACCTCCATGCTGGTGAACAAAATTTTCAGAAGGAAGGCCTATATGGAGGTGAGTTGCTCAGCATTGCTCTATTTACACATGTGGACATGTGCGTCGATTAACTGTGCAATGATTTTATTGTGCATCTCTTTGATGGCACTCTACATTTTCTCCCTTCATCCCATAAAAGATCCTGACGGAGAAGACCACCATGACCGATAAAGCGAGAGAAGTAATGAATGACATTTTGAATGTGAAGGATGAAGTTGGAAAAGTTCCCTCCTCCACGGGAAGTGTCAATAGGTTGGATAGTACGAGCACGTCCAATGTGTATTCCAAGGGCCTGTATGATGACGGACAGGCACAGATACAAGAGGATCTCTCGACCAAGGGCAATGTAAGTTCTCTCACGGCATAAGTGGCGCCATGAGCATCAACACGCGTATTTGTGTGCACGATTTTTTACATACACAAATTGCGAAAACGCCTTTTTCCCCCCCTTCAGGCAAATATCCCCTTTGTTCAAGATCTGTAAGTCGAAAAAGGAAAAAAAAAAAAAACGCGCTCGTACGCATGCATGTTTGTACTCATGTGCGTCCGAAGAAATGTCACAACAGCTGCGTTAACACTATGCTTTCACCACCCTCGTAGAAATAACACAATTCTGAATGAGCAGATGAGTGACGACTTTGAAAGGTACAATTCGCAATGGACACGAGCCTCCCGTGTTTTGCATTCGCATTTACGCCTCCTCCCTCCCCCAGGCGTGTGTGTTCAATTCACACATCATGGGACCCTTAAAAAATGTTCTTTGTAGATGCAAAGATTTGTCAGTTTGCACGGATGAAAATTTAAAACGCATGATAAAAATATTAGAAAAAAATTCTTGAAAGCATGTCCGTTGCTCCCACATGTACGTGAATGTATGTATGTACGTATGCGTGTGTACGTGTACACATGTGCCTGTATATAGCTGCGTGCCTAACGTTGCTATAACGCAGCACGGGCATACCCCTGAGCGCAGCTTCGAAGATTTCTCATCTCGTTATACACACTAGGCACAAAAACATATTCATCGCGCCTTTTTATTTTTCCTAGGCAAAATCCCTACATTTGGAAGGAGCCCAGCGATGGTGCGAACAAAAAAAAAAAAAAAAAAAAAAAAAGTCACGTGTAGGGACAAACGTGGCAGTACAGGGACATCACTTAAAACGCGAGCGAGCCATATATAAAATTTATGCAACCCCCACCACCCACAGGCAAATATGTCACCTGGGACGACATACGACGAATGAACAAGTGAAAATCATGGACAGGCCAAATCACACATTGAAACGACATCAAAACATGTGCTTAAATTTGTCAATAAATGTATTGTAGTGAAAATTTCTGCTGTCATTGTTAAATTTGCACACATATTGAAAATAATTCGCGTCCGAATAAAAGGACAGGATGTAATTGTAAAATTTAATGGCTTGATTTTTTGTAATTACATTATTCACAATGTTTAATTTTGTTAAAATAATTTCCCTATTTTTCAGTTCGTCAAAAAAATGCAACGTTACATATGGCGTTGAATTCTCCCTCAATTTATTGTACTCCTCCAGAGCTGTTATGAATAGCAACTTGTGGTCAATAAATTGCGAATAAAAATTTATGTAGCCATTTTGGTTCCTTTGTGGAATAATGAAATGGGAATTATTTTTGCAATTGTTTTTAATCTGTTCATACTTGCCTATGCTTATATGAGCTGCCACGACGTATTTGTCATTTTGGTACTTTTCCTTCCATATGTGTATGATTTTTTGCTTATCTTCCCTTTCCAATAGAGGCAATTTTACAATATTTTTTAACGCCCTCGAGCTGGGGAGCGAAAAATAAAATCGTTTCCTACCTGTACACATCAGCATGTTATGTAGTTTTTTTTCGTCCTTCCCCTCTGTGCGCGGTTGGTGACTGCAGCGGGAACAGGTTGCTCATTCACAATGGAGCAGCTCCTGAAACCTTCAAACTCTCATTTTTCCACGCCGTGTGATCAAAACGAATCGTAATGCAAGAGCAAAATGTTGGATTTTCCCAAACGAGTCATAACATCCTCCATTCACAACAGCGGGGGTTATATTACACTTTTACGTTTGCTCTGCATAAACGGAGTTTTTTTTTTTGTTCTTTGCTACATGTGATTGTGGCTTCATACGGTATGAATAATTAAAACAGTTTACATGTTGAATTTACATGTATGCTCTACCCCACAGGGGTTATAAAAATTGCGTACCAATAAATAACTCGTGCGGTGGACCAACGGCCATCGTACAGGAGTGCATACATAATATAACGAGCGATGTGCCACTGGCAGATGCCACTTTTCAACGGTTACAAAATATTTTATACAAATATAATGCACAAAAATATAAAGAGCCGCAAAATGGGAGGAATTTTTTCCTGTGATCGGGGACAAATGCACGTAGGAAACTAGCGAGGGTGAAAAATTTGAAAAGCTTTAGCGAAGGCGCTCCACGGAAAAAAAAAAAAAATTGCACACATAAAGAATAGGTACTATGAGCGTTAACTACTACGCTCAACGGTAGCGTACCATTTTTGTAAACGTTTGGAATTAAAAAACAAGTGCTACTTAATTTGTGAGGTCCACATGGTGCGTATAGGGATAAGGGGAAGGAAGGGAGGATATGACAGAAATGCCACACGTGTACATGTGGCGGGTAAGGAAAAAGAGGTATTTATAAAAGCGAGCAGCTTATTTATGTGGAGGTGCGATCTACACAAACAGTTGGGCGCTTGGGGGAGGGGAGAAATACGCACAGCTACACATCAGAAGGAGCTTGGACTGAGTATCTGACGCAAAATGTCGCAGGGCTTCTCGAGTACCTTGGCGCGCAAATCAAACTGCACCATCGAGCCATCATTAAGCACACCGATGTAGTCAACGAAATTGAGCAGGTCCAATCGGTGCGTAAAAATAATGGACGTTTTCCCTTTCATATATTTAAGTAGTGCTTCGTTAATTATGTTCTCTGATAATTTGTCCAGCGAAGATGTGGGTTCATCCAAAATAAGAATTTTATTCTTCTTAAACAAATTCTGAGCAACGTAAACTCTTTGCTTTTGTCCTCCCGACAAGGAAGATCCATCCACCCCGACATTCACATCATCGTAATGAGCATACTTACTTAAAAAGTCATGAATATGAAAATTTTTATACGTATCTTTCAACATATCTGGAGTAATTTTTTTCAAATTCTCCTGCACATTTTGTATTTCTCTCGTAATAAAAGTGTGTATTTCGTCCAAGTCGTCGATTGCAAGTTGATGTGATTGGAAGGTATTTTCAGACGCCGTGTTGTTCAGCACTTCTGATTTGGCACCTCTGCACCAATTCATCTTGTTTTGTTTTTCTGTGCTATACCTTTGGGAATTTTTTTCCTCTTCTATGAGGACCAGTTGTTCCTTTAGCATCTGTTCATATGCCTTGAGGGGGTACAGCAAATTGCCCTGGATAGACATATTGAAGAGAAAAGGTTTTTGCGTGATTACTCCTTGGATGTACCTTAACGCAGAGGAGTTGATTTTTTCAATTTTGAAATTTCCTATGAGGATATTTCCCGAGTTGGGGGTATTTTTTTTGGAGAGCAGATTTAGTATGGTTGTTTTTCCGCTGCCACTTTTGCCTACAATGGCAACTGATTTGTTGTGCGGCAGGAAAAAGGAGACATTTTTCAGGGCGTAATTGTTCTCCTTCACGCGTTCGTTATCCACGCGCTCTGTGCGGTTCATACGGGTCGTGCTACTCGTACTGTGTGTGCCACTACTTCCGCTGCTCCCTGCACTGCTGATGCGCGAAACTGGGTCCTCCGCGGTGGAGGACTTGTCGTGTGGAATGATTTCCTCATGTTGGCCGTATGAAAAAGAAACATTGTCAAACTTGATCGAGTAATCCTCATTTTTGAGGAAAAGAATTGTGTCCTTAGACCAGTGCTCGTTGAATTCACTCTTGGGCAGATTAATAATTTGAAGTACCTTTGCACACGAGCCAATGCATTTCTGCAAATCGCCAATGGATTGCATAACCCCCTGTATGCCACTACCACAAAATAAGGAGTACATTATAAGGGAAAATAAATCTCCAGCATTTATATATTTATTGGCTATTAAATAATTTCCATAATAAATCAAATGAAGCAAAAAAAGGGAAATGATACTAACGAAGAGGAAGTGGTTTCCAGCTTTGACCAATGAATATTTCGTGCCTGATTTGTACACTTCATTTAAATAATTGGTAAATTCTTTTTTTTCGAAAGATTCTCCATTGAGCAATCTCACGTTACCAATGTTGTGTATTTTTTCTGATGCAAAATCGATGCAGTTACTTAACCTCTCTTGTTTTACAATGCTGATCTTTTTTACAATTTTGCCATAAGCGGTACCGATTATTAGAGAAGCAGAGACCGGGAATAAAAAGGACTGAAATAATTTACTTGGAGATATATGCAAAGCACAGATTCCTCCAACAATGGCCGCAATCAAATTTCGAATTCCAAAGGACATAGTGATTAGTACCCTTGAAGAAACTTCAATGTCGTTGGATAACCTATTTATTAACTCTCCTGTTTTCTGTTTTTCAAAAAAAGACAATTTTTGATTCAGTATATTTTCGAACAAGTCTTTTCTTAACCGCCTCGTAATTTTTTCGATGGATGTTTCAATAAAATATATGCGAAAAAAACTGAAGGTAGAAATGCCTATAATTAAAAACACCGTTTTGTACACCTCGTTCATTACATACTTTAAGGATTCTTCCTTCCCTCCGTACATATTAATTATTTTGCTTATACACATGGGGAAGAACATTTGTCCCAGGGATGAGATTAGCAAGCAGAGGAATGCCACTGCTAGATACTTCCTTTCCTTTTTCAAAATTTTGTAAATGTCTTTTATGGACACACCTCCGTCTGCATTTGTGTTTAGCTTTTTTTCAAATGACTCTCTCAAACTTTTGCTTATGTTGAAAAAGGTTTCTTGTGCTTGGTTTATCTCCTTTTCTGTGTCGTCCTTCCCTTGATCATTCTTGCCATATGCTTCATTATCGCCTTCCAAAGTAGTTTTTCGTCCATTCCGTCTCTCACTTGAGAATAGGCGTATTCTCCACCGGCTACACTTCCTCGACAAGCGAGCTATCCACTCTAGACTGCTCATTTGGAGTCCCTCGGTTGCGTCGCTCCTGTGCTTTTTATGCATGTGATGGGTGCTTGCGCGGTATGGGATTTTGTGTAGGAAGAGGAAGTCGTTTGTGTTCGTGAGGTTGGTCAAGTTTGGCGGATTCAGAGCGTTTCCCACCTTCGGAGTGCTTCTCAATTTTCTCACGCTGCTTACGCTGTTCACACTGTTTATACTGTTTATACTTTTTACGCTTCTCTTTATTCCCCAGTTTTCCACGTGCGCCACGCCTCGGCCTTTGCCGACGCCAAAAATTCTCACATGACCGCAGAGGGGGTCGCGGCAATTAACCATCAGCTGGTAGTTTACGATGCACTGCTTCCACAACATTGTCTACCTGAATGAGGGAAGCAACAAAAAATTGAACAGAAAATAGAACAGAAAATCGAAGTGAAAATCGAACCGAAAATCGACGCGGTGTCGTGTGTACCACCCACCTGCGCTTTACCAATGAGGCACGTCGCAACTTGGGGTGTTCGCCTCAACGGACATGTGGCTGGGCCAAACCACACAAAATTAGGGCAGCTCCATATTCATCACCATTCGTCAGACCCACTCTGCACGAACAGTTACATACATAATATGCACATAAAAAATAAAACTCCTTTTTATAATTTTTCTTCTATGTGGGTTATGACGAGAGGAAGGGCACTCCAGCGTGTATTAAGCTGGTTTGAATTTGTTGGGCACAAAAAGTGGTAACCATGCAAACGTAGGCTAGGAAGCAAACGTGTAAGTAGGCGTATTTTTTGCCTACGAATATATTCACATAATATACATAAAACACATAAGTAAAAAAAAAAAAAAACAAAATTTCGCCTGATGTGTTCCCACACGCCGGGTTAGCATACCTGGTCCTTAAAAAAAAAAAAAAAAACTACGAAACGGATGTTTTTTTTTTTAAAGAGGAAAAAATTTACCATGTACAGGAAGTAATACACAGTTCTGAATTTTTTTTTTTTTGTTTTTTTTTTTTCGCTGCCATTGTTGCCACACGCCACTTCACACTTTTAAGCAATTGCTTTTATTTTCACCTTTTCAAGGGATACATTTGGAAGGGTTGCTTTTTTTCTTTTTTTTTTTTTTTTTCGTCACACCCTGCCCACCTCCAAGATCCTTTTTCCGTTCTTGCTACCTTTTGAAAAAGTGTGTTTGACGTGCCCACCCATGGCGGAACAAAATTCAGAATATTCATGCTCTGTGCTAAGCGTACGCGTGTATATGCGCGTATGCAACGTTGTGGAGTGAACGTAATGGTTTCCCCCTTCCGTTTCTCCCCCCATCCCAAGGGAATGGCACGCAGAATATGTTCTGCGTTACACAACACCTGAACTGTTCTGAGAGTAAATTCAGTGCATACGTGGGGTTAGAAGTGTACGCGTGCTACCATCTGTATGCTCTCTCCTTTGCTTCTTCTCATTTTCTGTCCTTATGCTCTCCCTCATGTGCATCCCTACTCATGCGGCCCTCATTGGTGCCTAACATGAAAGAGACATGCCAACAAACGCTCTAGCGGAAAAGGGGCTTCCACATTTCTACGGAATAAAGCACGAAAGAAGGAAGCTCCAATGATGACCAGTGATAGACCGTCTTCCCCCCAAAGGACAAAACCCGTTCGGATGTAACTCCCCCCCAAATTAACATGTCCCCTTCCCTATGCTACGGACAAGGAGAAAGTGAAAAAAAGAACAAAACAAACCTATGTGACTGAATGTCAGTCATTGTAGATACACACAAAGGGTAAACACACATCCGTTTAACTATACGTTTGGAGGAGGGGAAAAAAGTATACCCATTAAGCGTGCGACGTTTATGCCCCACAGTAAGTCACATTGTGCCACTACCAGGGGAATGATATTTGTGCTCCTCAAATGTATCGGTCTTACGAATGAGATGAAATTGTAACGCAAAATAGAACACTGAGTCCTTAAACTAGCACGATAACGTGTTCACCATTTAGCATAAGTTACCACTTCATTTTGTCCAATCCACCACCCTGCCCTTCCATTTTAGGAAAACCACGACGTTGAAAGAATTGCGTCCTCTTTTTAAAAAAAAATATATTTTTTTTTTTTTTACGCATATATTGAAAAATAATGACTAGAAAGAATGGGTATAAATTGCTTGTAGAGTTTTTTTTTTTTTACACTTTATTGCTCAGCCCTGGTACGGAGTCCTACGTTCGAAGTAGCAGCGGCGGCAGGGACATAATCAGTTGGAGTCATTTTAGCGGCGTCTTCACGGAGGGGAGGATACAGAGGAGGTGTCTTCCGTGGTCGGCAAGGAGTAGCACAGCGTCGCGTCCACAGTTGCCTCCGTCACAGTTACCTCCGTCGCAGTTTCCTCCATCACATTTGGAGCAGGCGACACAAACTGCGTCACCACCCGTGGAGCCAACCCAACGCGTCAAGCTAAAAAAAAAAGAAAAAAAAATACTAAAAAAGTACAAAGATTTTCTGGACATTTTGCCCAAGAGAGACAGCGAATATGCAATAAACGAAGCGATCGAAAAAATAAAAACATTGGCTGTTCATAATTTTGTTGAAAGTATAGACATATATTTGTCCTTTAATCAGAAGAGGTCCAAGATGAACAAAAATGACAACTTAAAGACGTTCATTACATTTCCACATAACTTGAAAAAAAAAAGGGCAAAAAAAGTATACGTGGTGACGAATAGGGAACTTCAGAAAAGGGCCACCGCCTCAGGTAAAGTCGTCTCACGCCCAGCGCGCACATACCCTGCTCAGTGAAGCTTTGTTTTTTTGTTATGTTTCGCGATGTGTCCACGTATTGGTGCGTATCATAAGGAGGACGCCCCCGCCCAAAAAAAAAAAAAATGCTTATATGGCCACTGCCATTGCATATTTCCACCCTCTCTCCATGTGAACAACGCAGGTGCTGACGTCGTTGGGGAAGACGATCTGATCAACAAAATTAAAGAAAGAGAAATCAGGCTGAAGAAAAAAAATAACAATTTTTTGCTCTGCACAAATGACGTGATACACAAACTGGCGCGTGTAGGAAAGGAGGTAGGAAGTAAAGGACTGATGCCAAATGAAAAGTCTGGAACATTGGTGAGTGAATTTTTGCTCGAAAAGCATGTGAAGCTTTTTAAGTTTGGGAATTCATACATTTTTAAGCTCAACAAATTAAACACGCTAAATTTAAATGTGGGTGATGTGTACATGGCAAATGATGAAATACGAGAAAACATTTGCCACCTGTTCGAGCATTTGGATAACCTGGAGTTTTTTCACTTCAACTCCAAAAATTTGAAGTCCATTTTTTTGAGCAGCACCATGGGCTTCCCCTTCAAAATTAAGAAGAACTTTTTGTAGGGGGCGCACGCACATGTAAAAAGGGAATATGTAAGGAAATGTGTTTGTATGTACATGTGTACACGCCACGCCAACACTTCTTTTAATTGGCCCCATAACGCGTGTGTTCCTAAGGGAACGGGGCTGCTTCGCCCCCCGGACGCGCCTACCATTGCAGCTACCATTACGCCGTCTTCTTTTCCCCGAGCGGTGGAATACCACTCCTTATGTGAGTGTCCTATAGAGGGTCATTTTTGTAACCACCACTGCGCCTACTTTGCAACTTTTTTTTTGTACGAACGAAAAATAACTCCACCATTTTACCCATTCGGAAAACCTTCCAACATAGTTGCTTCTCATATTGGCTGACGTTCCATGTGGGCTATTCCCCTCCACACATATATGGTGGCACATTTCTACAAGCACCCGTCTGTAGGACCTCCACGGGAATAACATTCATCATCGCTTCAAACGAATGAGCCTAGCAGCCACACAGTTGGGCCATTCACCCCGAGTAGTGCAGTGTTTCTCACTGTACATGTGGACATTCATCAGCTGAGAACAACCTCCGCTCGCACTCCTCCCATGCACTTGTCACCAATTTGGAATTAAAATAAGGACCTTGTCTGCACACGCCTGTACGTTCATCCCTGAGCATTGAGTATAATTCATGTTGACTCTTCATCCCTCCGACAACCTCCAAACAGGGGTTACCGTTTACAAAAGGGAGAAGTCTCACAATTTTATGAAATAATAATCTCTGTTATCCTGTTGGAAGGGGTTTTAATTTTGCACGCAACGCGCATGCGTATTGGTATGCCCATGGGTGAGCGGCACGCGAAGAGGCACACAATCAGACGTACAAGTTTGCGCGAAGGCATGAATACGTAAAAACTACAAAGGTATTAAAAATTCATCAAATTAAACAACAAAAAAAAAAAAAACGGGAAATAAATGAGTAATTCAAAACAAAAAAAGAAAAAAAAAAAAAAAGAAAAAACGGCGAGAGGGGCAGGGGATGCGTATGGCAGCATGGTGGAAAGACGTACACCTGCTTCGCTGCCGTTCACGCACGAGATAAAAAAAAAAGGATTTATGCTACTTTTCACTTTTAACGAACTGGCCGTGGGGGGTAGGTCTCTACCCAATGCTGCTTACCAGAATACTGTCCCACTTCCAACGAAACACATCCATCGCGCAGGCAGTGGGCACTTGAGAGCGCAGGAAAAGGTCCACATTGCAAAATCCGTTCTAGCTGAACATAGACAGGTGAAATAACTTGAAATAAATGAAGTAGATAAATATAACCAACGTTATGACCACCAGGCACCAAGACAGGCGTTGCTGCTTCACACTATGATACGTCTTCTTTAATTCCTTGGCACCGTTAAAAGCATTTATATTGGCATCATAAATATTGTTATTTAAAATTTCGATATTTTCCTTCTGCGTAAAAACCAGGTGTGCAAAATCTTTAAACACTTCTTGTGCCTGCGCAACTTGGCATTGAATTTTTTTAATTCCTTCGAACCTCTGTGTGGTTATTTCGTCCTCTATTAAGCGATCATTTTCGTTAAACTGGTCCAACTCATAATCATACATACTAGCGGATTCGATAAAATCGTCATTGTCGACAAAATTATCATTGTCTGCATAATCTTCATCTACATGGAGAATAAAATTATCTTTGGTAAAATGATTTGTCCCCAAAGTGTTCATATGACCATTTTTAATTTTTTCTCCCTTGCCATTTTTTATATGATTATAATTCATTTCGCCATTTTCTATATTGGGCAATTCGTTGGCAGCTTTTTTTACATTCACAGATATGCTCTCCAATTTATTTACTTCATTTTTAAAATGAATATTTAATTTTTCGAAAATATATTTTTTTTTTTGTTTTTCAAATGGATTTTCAGCAAACTTTATTTCCCAATCACGGAATAAATTTTCGGTTTCGATAACCTTCACATATATTTGTTGAATTTCTTCATGCAAGGCTTCTATAATTCTTTTGGATATTAAATTATTTTTTAAGTTTTCTAAATTTTCCTCTGCATAAATCATATTCTTTTTGATCAACAGGATGTTGTCTTTTATTTTTTTTTCATTGTCGTCTGCCTTTGTTTCTTCTACGAGTGGGTTATTTTCGCTATTGTAATTTTTGTACGACATTTTGACCTCTCCTCCTGCGTTTCAGCGGGTTTATTTTTATCCCCTATTTTTCGTGCGCTCCTCCCTTTAACCGCTAGCCTGTCCTGCCCTCACACAACGCTGTCGCAGGTAATCCCCCTTTTGCAAGGAAGAGTAGCCAATCAGACACAAACGTCTTGATGCGCGTCTGTGTTTTATATGTTTAACAACAAAGCAATTTTTCCCCAATGCGCACATATATTCGCGTGTGCATTTTAACTTCTGTTCCAAAGGCATCATAATTTACATGATTTTTAGTCATGAGGAAGGGAGGGAAACGACCAAGGGGCTTTGTGCTACACGTGTAATTATTCACTTCCTTACTTTCACATACGTGTGTTTGTACGTATGTGCACAGCGCATGTGTGGATTGGACACTCTCGATCACTTGGCCAACGTGCTGACTTGGAACATGGCAACTGGCTGCGTCATTTTTTCCCTTCGCAAGGTTGTGCCAACTGCTGGGCCGAAGAGTTCAAGAGGTGCATGCACAAGTGGAATGGCCCAATGGGTGGAAATTTTACACAATAAGGAAAAAATGGCCAAACAGGAGAAAAAATTCCAAAACAGAGGGAAAAAATTCCAAACACGGAAAAATTAACACAAGTTGAACAAAACGAAGGCGCGGCGTACGCAATGCAGTATTTTTATATCCTCATTACAAGATAGCGTGTTATGCAATTTTGTGAAACGAACTGACGTTAAGTTATGCAGTAATGTGAAATGGGAAAAAAAGGAAACATACGAAAATTCCCTTGTACTCACAAAATAATTACATTTCTACATTCTGTTCACCTTGTTTCTGTTGAACGGAAAAAACAGTACGCCGTGAAATTTAATTTTTTTTTTTTTTTTTTTTTTTTTTTTTTTGCCCAAGGGGAGGGAATATAAAATATACGAGAAAAAAAAAAAGAGGGGTGGACCAAACGAAAACACGTACCCACAGGGATAGCCAAAATAAAATGCACAAAGCATTAGCAAAAAAAAGGAACACAACAAGAATCAACAGTTGGAGCAAGCAGAAGAACTGTGAAAGGTGCCCCTCAAATCAATATCAACATGGAAAGCGATTTGAAAACGCTTTAAGCGTATCACATATTGGAAAAATTGGAAGGGGATGAGCTATAAATGGAGGGAATGGTACAAAGGCTAGCGCAGTGTCCGTATATACATCGCGCAAGTTATGGGAGTGTGCACATGTATGTATAAATTGGTGAAGATTCTTTCTTTAACACAACACATTTTTTTTTTTGCGACGTACCCAGATTTTGCGTTGTGTTGCTTAAAGGGCTGCTAAATGAATTCCTTACGCACGATGAGTCAGATTTCTGTTTTTTGCCATTTGTCCATTTTGCGAGCTTGAAAAAAAATGTAGGTTTTTATGTAGGCATAAGTCGAAACAACTCTGTTAGTGTGCGTCCACCGAGTAATGAAATGTAACATAATGCAACTTATTTGCGACCACTGGTTAACCTTTGCACGGGTTAACTGCTACAGGTGGAAGAAAAAATTTTGCGGTGCTGCATGGCGCTTGGGGGAAAAACCGAATATGTGGCAAGGTCACAGTTATTCCTTCAAACGACAGCATAATCGCACTACTACAGTTGTAGTTTCAGTTGGGTCATTGGTGTGTGTCCTTAAGAGCCTGATGGGGGAATGACAACAACATTACATCTCCCCATACGTCGAATGTGTTCCCCCAGTTGTGTCTTCTTACCTTTGTTAACTTTGGTGTAGCAAAAAACAAAATTATCTTCACACGGAATTTCAAACCATTTGTTCATGTAAAAGGGAAGGCAAAATAGAAAGTCACTAATGTCACCCCATCTACATTTCGAAATACACCATTTTGTAAATGAGAATATTACAGTTGTCACCCACGTGCGGATGCAATTGTGATCGCATTGCACACACAAGAATAGGCGCATCAACCGTTCATGTGAAAAAGCACAAATGAGGGGGAAAAAAAAATAAAAAACTTCGTATTGTATATCTCCACAGCTGTTCACATCAAAAACGCGAAATAGGAAATTACCGGAGAGGGCAAATTTACGCTGTATCAACGTTGACCTGTTTTAAGAGTTCCATTTCGTCATGGCGTCTATGTAGAATTGTAAAAGCATGGCGATGTGTATGGCACGACTGCGCGATGACATTAAAACGCTTAAGGTTCGGAACCAAAGGGACGACCCATATTGCCTATAGACAAGATGGTACATGTGTGTATGAATACATATAAATTCTTCCCATGTGCTCTGTCCTACTTCCTAAGGCGTTTTATTTTTGTCGAATTGCAGTTTACACTTTGGAGACAATCACAATGGTGAGAGAAGTGACCCAATTCGTGCGCTACAACACATTCCCTGTGCTTCGTATCGCCAATATGTCTACGCAAAATAAAAATATTTTTCACACCTGCGTTTATCAGTTGAAGGATTTTAAATTGCCTTAAAGAAAATTCTCTTATAAATAATTAAGGATAAACAAAAACAAAATTGTATCCCCCTTTTAAACAAAAAAAAAAAAGTAAGCAATGTGTGGAAAGAAAGGCAGGAAGAAGTATTCACAATGGGGCAAACAACGAAGGGGAAACGGTGGGACATTTTTTTAATTGCATTCATGTAATTTTTTTATTCAAAAAAAAAAAAAGTAAAAAAAAAAAAAAAAAAATGCACCTAAAATAAGAGCTAAATAAAATTTTCTTCAAAATAATTTAATTGCGCTGAAAAAATTCTTCATAACATCAGCCATCATTTGTTTGCTTCTCGTCTAGATAAGCACACATACACATACAGCAACAGAGCGACAAAAAAAAAAGAAAAAAAAAGTAAATTTGAAAAATAAAAATTGGCCAAAAGGCAAAGCAACCAAATTTCAAAACAACAGTATGAACAAATAAACAAAATTAAGAAATGGAACAAAAATAATCGGCTTAAAATGAAGCCTATGTGTGTATGGGACAAACATCCACATCAAGGCAGGGCCAACCGTCGGAAATATTTTTCATTTATGTGACTAGGTATTTACGTTGTGGGGAGTCGTAAAGAATTGTGTTCGCACGAATGGGGAAGAAAGTGGGTGACGCATATACGTGTATGCACACCGAAGGTCCTTATCGAGATGAGGGCGCTATAGAGTGATCTGATGGGTGCGCGAACATCTGTATGGGCACTTGCAAACGGTTCGTTTAGTAAAAACAGTTTCTGTAATGTAGGTTTCGTGGACGTACGTACTTCCACGTATGGGTGTGTATATGTATGGATGTATCTCTACCCCCTTCTCTGTGACCGCTCCCTCCTGGGCTTAGTTGAGGCTGCTCAAATTGACAGACTTGGACACGCCAAAAAAGTCTCCGCTCTTCTGCTCGTTCATCCATCCGTGGGACATCATGGGGTAGACAAATTCGTTCAAGTTAGCATTCGCATTCCAAATGTTCTGTTCATTATTTCCTTCTTTTTTATAAGTAGAAAAGTCCATATTTAATCGCACACATGCATTCTCATCCGTCACCTCTCCATTCCTCACACCAACACTGTTCTCACTGTTCACCTCATCAAACCATCTGTTGTTATTGCCCTCTATATTATTGTTATATAGAAAAGTGAGATTGTGTATATCCGGAACGCACGTGTTATAATTCGGTGCTGATGATAAGGAGTCACTCAACTGGGTGTTTTTTTTAAAAGGATAATTATTTTCACTACACCAATTCATGTGGTTCACATTTTTTATGCCCGAGTTTGTATTTTTCGTTTCGCTATATTGTAACTCCTTCGATATGAAGCATTTTATTTTTTTGAGGAACTCTGACTTGTCATTGCTGAATGGGAAATTTCTGTCTACGTTCACACCGCTGTCGTTTAGTTCAGCGCCTTCTCGCAAATTCAGCTTCGCATTTTTTTCCTTCCCTATGGTGATGCTACTCGCTGGTTTTTTCTGTATCTGGTGTGGCGTTGTCACGTTCGGTGCTGTCACGTTTGGAGTGGTCTCCTTTGCGCTGTTCAAATTTTTGCCATGACTTGAGCGGAGGAAGATCTCGCTCCTTCCATAGCCTCTTTGGCCGAAGCGGTCGCTCGACGCGAATGCGTTGGTTGCAAATGGATTAGCACCATAACCGCTAGAGATATACCCGCTGGAAGCATAACCATTCGCCGCGTCATCACCTCCAAGTCCCCTCATATAGTTGACGCCGCTGAACCCTCGGTCCTTCTCGCTAATCCCAACGAAGCTAGCCATGTGGTCATTCCTGAACAGAACATTACCATCTTTCCACGTGTCTATCTCCTCAGTTTTGTCAAACCCGTCTTGGCTGATATGCTGCATTTGTGGCATCCTCTGCTGCTGGTATGTGCCTACCTCCTGACTTTTGTATTCATTATGGTGAAAAACAAACGGGTTGAAAATGTTGGAAGCAGCACGTTGGTCTAAATCGAGCATCTGGTTCGTGAAGCCCATCTTATTAGTGCTGTTGTTCACGTTATGCATGCCGTTATTGTGGATGCTTCCTCCGATGGAGACGCCATACGAACTGGCTGATTGATGCGCACCTCCAAACTTCTCCTCATAGCAGTGCCTTTTCTTCCTTCCTTGCGAGAGATAATTTATTATGCCTTCCTCAAACTGTTGATTTGGCACCTCTTCATTTACTTCTGCGTTTGTCATATATTTTCCATTATGTACCACGTTACTCAAGTTAACATTGTGATTGTATACACTTCTCTCCGCTTCGAATGGCTTCGCGTTGTTCATCACGTTTGCGTACTGCCTGTTAGATAGCTCTGCATTGTTATTAACAGAAAAGGCATCTCTGATTTCATGGGGACTGTTCACATCTTTCACGATGGAAAATGATCCTACATTTTGCGAAATGAGAATATCATCTATGGTTTTTATTATGCTGTTAAGATTGTCGTCTGGTTTGATCCCGTCTTCAAAATTGGACATGGCATGCTTCGTGTTTCTGTGTTCATTTATGCATAGATAATTTTCTGTGCCGTCTTCTGGAAGGACGTATTTGGTCAGGTCGTCATCACCGTTGAGGTTGCGATTGATGGCTGCAGCTGCTACTGCGACAGTGGAGGGGTAGCCAAAATGGGTGTCGTTGCTGCTGAGGCTGGAGAAGCGTTGGGTGAAGAGCCCCTGAGTGGTGAAACGATGAGTGGGGAAGCGTTCACCTGCATATGGTTTCTCTGCGCCCCGTTCGTCTATACACCCTGTATCCATGCGTCCCTCGTTGGCGCCGCGCTGCTTCGTGTCGCCTTGCTTCGAGCCGCCCGGACAGTCCCTCTCCACCAGGGTGCCACTCTGGTCCTTCTTAATGGATTCCTTCAGGAGGTTATTTTCGTTCAAGAGGTACTTGATAACCTTCGTGTACTTGTCATTATTCTCCATAAAGGTAGACAAGGCTAGATTCTCAATTTTGCTGAGGACGTCTTTAATAGAATTTCCGTTGCTGCTATCTGGCAGGTGGAAATCACCATCCGTCGTATCCTTATCGAAGGTGTCATTTGTGTCTCTTGTGGTTATTTCATTGTCCAATTGGGGTGTACTCTTTTTGTTTTTAATTTTCATTTTTTCATTTTTTATTACATTTCTTCTGCAGATAAATGCATCCCCATCCTTATCGTATGAGGAAGACACGTTTGTATTTTCCGAGGACCCATTAACAGAATAATCACACGTATCAAATGAGTACGTAGAAGCAGTTCCTTGTTTCAGATCAGTGGTATTGCTTTTCATTTTATTTTTATTTTTCTTGGTACATTTTGAACCCTGCAACATGTCCACCTGTTCATTCGTTTTTATGTCTTCCGTTCCGTGTGCAAATCTGCATTTATTTCCATTGAAACATTTTCCCTTACCCCAAAAACTACAGATAGTTGATTTGTACGTCGCCAAGTGCACACTAGGTTTGAGTGTATCAATGTCGTGGGCGAATTTACAATTTGCGTCTCTACAAGGAATTTTTTTTTTCACATAATCACACAGCTTCGTATTCCTTAAGTCAGGCATCGGCTTCAATTCGTCAATGCTATGGGCGTAATGACAATTGGACTCATTTAGACAATAGTTTTTATTTTTTTGGAAGGGGCACATTTTCGTTTTAAAAAATTGCTTCTTTATCAGCGACAGCGTTTCTGACTGCACCTGGGATGCCTGCTTGTGATTTTTTTCATTCATCGTTTAGGACAGGGGGCGGGGGGAAGGAGCAAAATGGAGGAACAAAAAAAAAAAAAGGGGAAAAAATAGCACTACTGCAACGGGAACACAAATGTGGGATAAGTGTAGGGAGGAGCTAAAAGCGTGGCCAGAGTAAAAGAAAAAAAATATTTCAAATAATTTACGAATATTCTGGTGCAGTTGCACAAAATGGAAGGAGCAGTGGAGCAGTTCACCACTTGTGAAGCAAAGCGAACGAGATGAAGAATGTGGAGAATCTACAAGCTGTCTATCCTGGCGACGTGGTTGGGCTGTGCACTGCAGTCACCCGTGGGTGGGGGAGCGAAAGGTTCGCGCGCGTACGTTCACATGTGTATATGTGCACATTCATACAAATACACCTACATGGAAGAGTGGAGGTGTAGAACTGCTCTCTATGCTCGCCCATCACATCATACTAGCGGGATTAGCGCAGAGACATGTGTGCGTATATATATATATATATGCCGACTTGTTGAGCTTCCCCGATGCGCATGTGCAAAAAGATACCAATGGCAGAGGGAGTGGTGCATGCGATTTGTAGGAGCAACGAGGTGAAGCGCAGGTTACTTATCTGTCGGCCCTCTTTTGATAAAACATAATTAATCTACTTGTGCGAAAAGCTCGTGAGAAAAATAATTTAATGAAAAAAAAAAGCTGCTCCTCTTTTTTTTTTTTTTTTTTTTTAATTTACAAATAATGCATTATGATACGAAAAAATGAACCACAAAGGGAAAGTGAAATAAAGGACAATAATAAAAAAAAAAAAAAAATTTAAAACAAATTGGAACAAAACAAATAATTTAGATGACAAAAGAGAGTCAATAAAATTTGCCGTATGTGTGAAACTTAACTAACTGGTTGGCAATCATTTTGGAGGGGACAAAGAAGTAAAAAGAAAACTAATTTTCACAGAAAAAAAAAAAAGAAAACAAACCACATTACGCGAACGCAGTGGTTGCCTATGCAAGTGCGCACTTTGGAGGGTAGCAAATGGGTATGTTGCACATGTGTGTGTATGTATTTGTACCTCAAGTTACCCGTGAACAAATGTATGTACGTACTCGTGAGGGTAACTCTTCTTCTTGAGGAAGAAAGAACGCAAATATAACTAGGAAAAAAAAAAAAAAAAAACGCATCGAGGTCACCAAGGCACAGTTGCATAAAAATATACAGCTAAGTATAACCAAATGAGAAACATGATAAGGATGCAAACGGGTATAGATTTACAAAACGGGTCAGTGAAGGACCATATAATGAGTCATTCATCCTACAAGTCCATGTGTGGATGTACATACTGATGTCGTTGTTTTTTTTTTTTTTTGTTTTTTTTTTTTAACAATAGACAAACATTTTATCTAAGCAGTTCTTACATGATTGCTTAAAAAATTATGTGCACAATGTTTACTCGTCTTATTCGACATGTGAATGCATCATTTGCCAAATACATACATGTGCATACACTTAGAGATTCACGTGCACACAAAAACTGTGTCATTTGCCCCTGCGTGGCACATTCAAATTGTGAACAAGAAAAAAAAAATTTTAACTGCCCTAGTAAATGTGGTAACTTACACGTTGATAAAAAAAAATGAAAAATAAAAATGTGTGCTCTGTATGATGCGGAAGAAAAGATGATCACACGTATATGTACATATGCTAGAAAAATTGATTTAGAAAAAAAAAACATTGCAGTGAAAGAGTCTTACAGAATGGATAAAACAAAATTGACGTAAAAAAAAAAAAAAAAATGAATAAGGATGAGAACAGGCGCAGTTGCAATGATGGGGAAATGGTTTTATGTGCTTGACTGATTAAACTTCGTTGCCTATTTGTGTACATAACGATTAATACAAACAACTCATACGAATGGCAACCCCTGTTTGAGTGGTTCTTTCCTTTTCCTTTCACGGGATGCACATTTGAATAGCACGTTGGCGTAGTGTTCACTGGTGGGTCATTCCTACAAGGGGAGGAATTCTTCCGGTTCCACCGTTGATAAGCTCCACGCACGTACCAGAAAGGGTTTTTTTTTTTTTTTTTTTTTTTTTTTCTTACATAATTACCAACTGATTTGTCTTTTTTCTTCTTTTCCTTCTTCGGAGGAACCTCCACTTTTATGGTCACCCATTTTGTACGAAACAGAAACAGCCATCACACAAGGGATTGTCTTCTGGCAGAATATTCCCACGTGGTGGATCTTGCCAAGAAAAAAAAAAAAAAAAAAAAAAAAAAAAAA